TCACAGGAAGGGAAAGTCGGTCTAGGAGCGAAGTTGAACGGCGCAGAGGAGGCGACTGGGCTCGGGATTCGACTGGAGAGGAAGCCGAACGGGGGAGTTTGATCGGACAGGGTCGGACGGCTACGGGTAGGCACGACTGGTCTCTCTCTCTCTCTCTCTCTCTCTCTCTCTCTCTCTCTCTCTCTCTCTCTCTCTACGGGATTTGGCCGAAGAGGTGTTGCTCCCGATCAAAATGTCTTAACCTCCGATCCGACAGCAAAGGGAAGGTCGTTGAAGGAGTGCGCGAGAGAGGGAAGGAGAGGAGAACGGGAGCTTTCGGAGAGAGGAATCGCGTGGAGAAGAGCGGGAACCGGGAGGAGAGGCCGAAGGCCTCCTTCTCGTGGGCATTTAACGTCGCGAGGTGGGTCGTGCGAGGTCGTGGCGGATGCAACGTCGATCGTGCGCGGAATGGCTACGACGTGCGAGCAGGTGAGCGACGTGGGGCAGCAAGTAAGATTTGATATTTTCTTTTTTTTTTTGTACAGCAGGTCAACAGAGGGACATGTAGTTTGAAGTGTGAGAGAAGGTATTCCTAAAACTACGCCCTTACAAGCAGAACACAGTTGCGAGAAGGAGGAACGAGAAACTGGCATCGCGATACTTCGGCCCCTATGAGGTGTTGGGCGGGATTAGAGCAGTGGCGTATCGCCTGAAGTTACCACCATTAGCCACCATGCACCCAGTTTTTCATGTGTCTCAGCTGAGGAGAGCTCTAGGGGAGCATGTAGTTAGTGTGGAATTACCTTCTACATTAACTGAAGATTTGAAAGTAGTTTTAGAACCACTGGAGCTTACAGGAGTCAGATAAGATAAAGAGGGCAACAAAGAAGTGTTGATTAGATGGAGATGCCTCCCCAATATCGATGCTACTTGGGAGCCATTTGAAAGATTGAAAGATCAATTCCCTTCATTTCACCTTGAGGACAATGTGAGTCTTTTAGAGGGTAGTAATGTTAGGTCGGTCCAAGAGGGGCCGGCTAGACTGGTCCTTACCTATTCAAGGCAGGCCCACATGGGGCGAAAAGAGGACAAGGGGGGCGGAAGCCTAGTGGGCCCAAGCTTGGGTTGCCTGGGTTGTTGTCTTGGTTGCCATGGGAAGGTGTCTGGGTTTCCTTGGTTGCTGTCTTGGGTTGACTGGGTTGATGTCTTGACTTCCCTAGAATGCTATCTTGGTTGTCTGGGTTGTTGGGCTGGTTTGGCTGGGTTGCTGTCTTGGTTGCCTTAGAATGCTGTCTTGGTTTCCCTGGAATCCTATCTTAGTTGCATGGGTTGATGCCTTGATTTTCCTGGAATGTTGTCTTGGTTTCCCTGGAATCCTGTCTTGGTTGCCTAGGTTGTTGGGTTTGTTTGGCTGGGTTGCTATCTTGGTTGCCCTGGAATCTTGTATTGATTGCCTGGGTTGCTGTGTTGGTTTAGCTGGGTTGCTATCTTGGTTATTTGGATTCCTGGGTTGGTTTGCCTGGATTGCTGTCTTGGTTGCCCTTTACTTGCTACATCTATTAAAAAGATGGGTTATTTCTGAAAGCATTGAAAATTTATTAGTTTTATGGGTTGTTGTCTTGATTTCCCTCGGTTGTTGGCTTTGTTTCATGGTTTGGTTTGCCTGGATTGCTATCTTGGTTTGTCTGGGTTGCTGTCTTGATTGCCCTGGGTTGCTGGCTTGGTTTACATGGGTTGTTGCCTTGGTTTCCCTTGGTTGATGTCTTGGTTGCCCTCGGTTGCTGGCTTGGTTTACCTGGGTTGCTGCCTTGATTGCCTATTATTCACCTGGCTATCGTGATTTCGTTTTTGAATCATTTGCTTCCTGGGTTGATTTCCTGTTACTTGTTGTATATGTTCAAATGCTGGGTGGGTTAAGAAAGCATTGAAAGTTGAGTAGTGATGATGAGTACCTTTCTAAACTGATTGTGAAGTCATTTGGGGAAAAAATTTATTGCAACCATGTGGCATTTGTTTTATCTTCTAATCAAACATATATTAAGTATAAGTCTAAAATACAAAATGACACCTTGGATGACAATGCCGTAGCTATTAAAAATTATATTGTTTACTCACATTTCATTATTTGATGAATTATTTGGAGGGTTAAAATAAGCTAATGACTCAAGCTTTCAACAAATTTATGGATTTATAATTATATAAATTTAACTATTTATATTTTTTGCAGTTAGCATAAATCTCCATGAGGGCAGGCAAATGACTTCCGGTCTCCTGAGTTATGAGTTCTTCAAACAGTCAAACTTATATTTGTAAATTGTAATTTACAACTTTGTGATTTATAATTTGTGAAATTACATGTTTGTAAATTGTTATATGTGATATGTAATTTGTTTGTTCATTTAATATTTATGAATTATGATGTATCATTTGACAATTTGTAATTGGTTCAGTTAACTAAATTGATGTCTTGGTTTCCTGAGTTGGTTTGCCTTGTTTGTTGTCTTGGTTTTTCCCTGTGTTGTTGTCTTGGTTGCCTGTTATTTACCTGTACGTCGTGGTTTCGTTTTTGAATCTTTTGCTACTGGGTAACTGGTTTGGTTTCATGTAACTTGATGTATCTATGCAAACGGGTCGGCGGGTCAATCCAGGTTGACCCGAACTCGACTCAGGTCAGGTTCGGGTCCTAAATAGTGACTCGTTTCCCTAAATGGGTCGGGTTCGGGTTGACCCATTTAGATCCAGGTCAAGTCGGGTTCGACCCGTGACCCGATTTTGACACCCCTGCGTTTTACCTTCCTTTCCTTACCTAAGAAGCCTAATGGGTAGAATAGGAGGGTAGCTGAGAGGAGCTAGGGGGGCCAAAAGGGTTTTTAAGTTGGGTTCAAGTCCAACCTGAAACTCACCCGCCTTAAACTAATATAACCCGAACTAGACCATATTAGACAAATGGTCAAAAATTCAGACTCGGACTTGGCCCACCATAACCCATGTTGACCAGACCCGACCTGCTTGTAATAGCTCAAACTCTTAACTATGGAGATATTGTCCACTTCGGCCTAAAAGCCTCACGATTGTCCTGTTAGTATAACTTCTCAATAGGTCACCCAACTTAGAATTTTTCTGAGATGAGCACGCTTATCTGCGGAGTTTATTAAATAAAATTTCAACCATTACACCAAAAGATGCCTCGATGTTTAAGAGTTTAGCTTCTCTTACTTAAGGAGTTTCACAAACTCCCCCATTTAAGTAACTGACATCCTCGTCAGCATCTTTATCCTAGAATCATTCACAAGGCATATATGATTCTAGAGGTGACCCCTACTAGTTCAAGTGGTGGCTCCTGTCACGCAGAACTTTGTTCCATACAGGGTTCAAGAGATGGCTCCCATGGCGTAACATTTTGTCTTGTATGAAACTTAGTTCACATCTTCCGACTAGTGTATTGCTCTGATACCATTTGTAACATCTCAAACTCTTAACTATCGAGATATTACCTACTTTGCTCTGATACCATTTGTAACTTTCTAAATTGACATAGCTATATTAAAAAAGTTTTAAATCCAATTTTTATTTAATTTCTAATTGGATTGGATTTAATTACTCCTCTCCCTAATTAGAAAACCACATTTAGAAACTTTTAAAAGCTCTCCAAATCCTCTCCCTCCCTCATCATGCCGCCGGCCCATTAATGGGCTTCACCCATTGATTGCCTATTTGGATTCTAAGCCTTGGTTAAATTTGAATTCAAATTTTCAAATCCCTCATAAATTTTGAAATTCAAAATTCAAATTTCCTTTAATTACTTTCCTAAAATAACTCATGTCAATTTGGAAAGTGTCTTTATTTGAAATCAATTCTATATTATAATTTCAAATACTTTCCTCTTTGACAATCTTTAATTAGAAAACCTTTCTAATTACATTAAATCTAAAATTAAATTTCAGATTTAATTTCAATCTCCAATTAATGCATATGAACCATATACATTGAACATGGACACCAATCACCCACATCTTTCATGGCCAGCCCACACCTCTCTCCTATCTAATTAATTCTCCATTTAATCCTCCAATCAATCCCTTAATCTCCTCCCCCCAATCCAGCCTCCCCCACTCCCTCTCTCCTACATTGCTTAAACACCCTCCAATCAAACCCTGGCCACCAAAAACAAAAGAAAACCTGCTCCCAACGGCTGTCCAGGAATTCCGATCTAGGAATTACTGCTCAGAAAATTCCAACCAGCAATATTGCTGCCCCAAATCCACTCCTGCTTGCTGTCCAGCAATCCCTCAAGTGCTGTCCAAGGCGTTTCTAACCTCAAAGGCTGCTTTTCAGAGTTTCTCAAGGGTCAAATTTGCTCGCCAGGCTTTCCTAGTGACCATTCATACATCTTTAGTTGTTGTCTAGCCGTCCTAGCAGATTTCCTACTGCTGTTTCGCTGTCCGGAGGACTGGAACCGTCCAGAAGGTTCCGGAACCTTGAGGTTGCCGTCCACCCTTTACAAGCATTCAAACGACCACACCGGAGTTTCGTATCTTCTATTTCTTTGGGTAAACTCTTCCTTCGACTCTTTTATCTTCGTAGTTACTTCTCAATTGTGGTCCTAGTAGATTCATGAAGATAATGTTCATGCTCCTCCGCTAAAGCTTAGTAAACTAGAGAGTTGAGTGAGAGACCCTTGCATAGTGACTAATCTTATTGTTAACATTAGGATTTATCGTTGAAAATCATTCATGTATGCAACATTAGAATAAACTGATTGTTTTATGATATTAACTCCTATGCATGTGATTTAGCCTAAGTTTGTTTTACCGCTCTTTGTGTTTTATTTTGTCGCTTATAATCAATATAAATATATAATTATTGTGGCTTCTAAAATTAAGTGTGCAAGCTTCTTTAATTAATTCCTTCTTGCAATTATGTTCTACATCACATGCACTATAGTGATCCAGAAGGATATGCGCCATAGTAAGGGTTTAGAGATAAATATGCACCATAGCAAAGGTGTAGAAGGTTCTTACATTGGCTTCAGCTGCAGGATTAACGTTACCATTGACAGAAAATGCTCCACCAAGAATAACAATCTGCCCCACCTTTTGTGGATATCCAGGATCAAGTTCAATGGCCTGCACTAATCAACATAAGAAGTTAGGCAACTTAACAAACAATGCAGATACAAAGGGAATGAAAGATGATGGAAAACTGACCATCGCAATATTTGTTAATGTGCCAAGTGCGACAACAGTGACCTTTCCAGGAAATTGATTAGCTTTCTCAACAAGAAACTCTGCAGCAGATTGATCGATTGCCTTCCCCTGGGGAGGAGGGAAGTTTTGGTTTCCAAGTCCATCTGACCCATGAACGAAGCTCGCTATCCGAAGCTTTGTAACTTTCTTTTCACATTGGAATAACCAAATAAAGTGTGCTTTAGAAAATTCAAGCAATAAATAAAAACCAGAGAATAATGAATTTCATTCAAACTTTAGGATGTGGCGAACACACCACAATCTGAAATGGTAGGTCATCGCACCAGGCTAGTCAAAAAATTCCAAGTGTTCATTCAAGAAAAAAAATTCTTTGTATTATAACCTTTTGATATAGAATTCGAACAAACAAAATACCATCCGCTAAGGAGGAACTAGGAAGTTTAATAAAGGAACGTTTGTATATGTGTCTAGCATTGGGTGAGAAGTATAAAATAAATCAAGTACCATGCTGGTCAAAAAATTTTAAGTGTTTCATATTTTCATGGTACTGATAAGCAGTTACAAAAAAATAAAATAGCGCCTATTTTAACTTTATGAATTCATATATTGCTGAGAAGTATAAAATAAAGCAACTGTGCACTTCTGTGAAAGTATCTACGGGCATAGAAAAAAAAGTGTGAAAGTATCTCTAATGCAGTCTTAGAACACTTGATAGCTTTAAAATTAATTATGTTGAGAAAGAAATAAGTGGTTTGTACTATTGACCGCATTTTTGTATGAGGTCACATTATTCTACAATCATCCTAACCTACAATCTAGCTTGCAATTGTCCTCGTCTATCTCTCTTAGAAATAAACATTGAACCATATGCATTTTAGTTGAGGTCGATCTGTCCACATAAATTAAGATTGAGGGTGCCAAACTCGATTTAACTCTTTTTGAATTCGATTCTCCTTGAGCACCATCAAATTGGTTTGAATCAATTCTAGCGGGATTTTATCTTCGACGGCTTCGATTGACTCGATTGAATATGTCTTGACCTAATCTAAATTTAATTGACACCATTTATCTCTAAACAACTTTGAATAATTGATTTAAAATATAAATATATCAAAACTTCATTGCTTTATACATCCTTTGGTTCCATTTTTATGGTCAAATGTCCCTCAAAATTTCAGATAAATTTCAGCCCTTAATTTATCAAAAATTAACCACTTGATATCAACCATCCGATCAACTTTTGAAAGGATGATATTCTTTTGATCTTGAGAATAGCATTAGGGCCGGCAAATTTTTCACACAGACAGCCCCCCCTCTCATTCCCACGATTTTTTCCTCATCCATTCTAAGAGCTGCTAGGGCCGGCTAAGCTCTCTCTCTCATTTTTTTTAGCCCTCTCCACATCCTCTCATACTCAGATTCACGTTCTGGAATTACTAGGGCCGGCCAAAGATGTGTGCTACTCTAATTTTCTCCACGATCTTTCCTCTCGATCTATCCCTAATCACATTCTCACATCTTGGATACCCTCATTGGTTGTGATTCATCTCCAGGCTCCTTCCTCGTCTCCAACCGTCCAAGCAAGAGGAAGAAGAAGAAGGTCCATCCATAGATCCAGCCAGCATTTTCCTTGTACATCAGATTTCAACCAGCTCTTATAGCAGATTTCGGCCATCCGCCTCCTATGTCCTTTCTCTGCCGTGAAACCCCTCCAGCAAACAGACTAAGCAGCTCCTTCTCCTCCTAATAGCCGGAGCTGTTCGAGGGCCGGGTCACTCGAATCCAGGCAGCCGTATACCTGAGTTGCTGCGACGGTAATGTCAGTTGCTAGAAGTGGGTAGCGGCACTGGGTGGACGGTGCTGTTCATTAACCAGGGAAATATGGGAAGTCGGTTTGCTCCAAAAGAGATCCAGCAGTTTGATATGCCAGAATAATAACAGCAGCAGCGGCTCTTCCTGTAGTTTCGGCCACTTCATGAGATGCTATATTTTCTATATGTAAAATACTTGCTGAACCTTAAGATTGCGGTAACCTGTACTTGATTTTTTTTGGGGAAAATTGGGGCCAAAGCCCTTAAATTTCATTCAAAATAAGGTTACAAGTAAACGAAATTACAAGTAAGTGAATAAAATCGAAACTACCCGTCATAAGTGTAATACAACTTATGAGTAACAAAATAAAACCTATACCACCCAAAGAGAAATTTTTAACATTAAAGAAAACAAAATTGTGGTAAGATCCCGAATAACATGAGCTTCAGATGCAGCAGAACGTGCCAACTCATCAGGTTGAGAACACCGGAGATCACCCAAAAGAATGCAGCTCCAGAGCAGCCAAAAAACCTGCAGTGAAAAACAGATTATGAACCAGCTCCCAGGCAAAAGAGACTGGATTCAGATTCATATTTAGAACGAGAAATCCAACATTTGGATGGTCACTGGTTGCCAAAAGACCATCCAAGGGACCAATCCAAGGGAGCTTCATCATCATCCAGTCTCAGCCAAAATCGCATATCGATTGGACAGAGGGGCCCGAAATGCACGAGGCGCTTATAATCTTCCACATAACTTCTGCATTTTTCCATTTCATAATCTTCTCAAACATAATATGTTTGATATTATTCATAACCGTAATGGAGCACTGAAAATTGCCTCCAAACCTCCTGCTATTCCTTTCTTTCCAGGAATAATAAATGATACAGCATACCGCCAATTTATAAAATTTCAAAATCTCAGCTTGGCCACTGAATTCCCCATTAATCCAGTCTAAGGTTTGCATAATCGATGGCCTCAACAAGAAAATCCCAATCCCAGGAATAATACTTTTCAATATGTTGAAGGTGTAGGAGCATTCGAAGTAAAGATGAGATACAGATTCATCATGCAAGTTACATAAGCTGCACATAGAAGGAACAAAAATATGTCTAAATCGAAGTGCCTCAGCAGTTTTTAAGCCACCCATAAGAGCAAGTCAAGCATAAACAGAATGTTTTAAAACATGCTTTTTGTGCCAAATCAAATGAAACCAGTTGCAATCCGGAATGTCCGAGTAAAATTCAAGTATATAATGTTTAAATCTATAGCTATTCGTGCTGTTCCAAAGCAGGCAGTGACCATTCCCCTCATTAATTTTCATCCTCTCAATAACCTGATGCAAGTAAGGCGGAAACTCCTCAGGTAACTCCCAGCGACCATTAGAAATGAGCTCAGAAAGCTTGATTTTCGATGAAGTAAAGTTAACATCTAACCCAGTATAATTCTCAATAGTGGAATTAAAGCACCAGTGGTCCCATTTAAACGAGATGGGAGAGTTGTGAAATATTTTAAACTGAAAAAGGCTTTTACAGTGTATAGCAGTCTTACAAATAGATTTCCAGAGCTTTGAATCAGAAAAATGATAGGGCTTCCAAGGAGAGGAGTACTTCTCCAACAGCCACATAGCAAGAGGAGAAGAAGAGTTATACATCCTGATAATGATAGAACAATTATACGCAAATTGTAGAGCATTAAGGGAATGAATACCCAAACCCCCTTTAATTTTAGGCATAGTGATTTTGTCCCATGACACCATATGAAGTTTCCTATCCTTGTTGACATCACCAAAGAACAGAAATCTGGAGCTAACTCTTTTGAAAGATTTATGCACCGATTTAGGTAATATGGAGCCCCTGATCCAATAAGCTATAGTATTTTGTATGGTGAATTTGAGATACTGAAGTCTTCCCGCAAAAGATAGTAAGTTAGCTTTCCAACCATTGAGTTTTTTATTCAAACTGTTAGTTAAAGGAAGAAAATCAGCGATTTTTAGCCTATAAAATGACAGAGGGATGCCCAAATATGTTATCTTGTTAGCAATATTGTGAATATTGAGGGCTTGACATATCTCCTGATGATTTTTGAGGTGCTTGGGAAACATAATAGAGCTTTTTTTCATGATTAACAACTAGACCCGATGAGTTAGCAAACTCCTTAAGAGTATAGTCAAGAATTTGACAGTTATCAATAGTTGCCTCTCCAAAAATCAGAATATCATCAGCATATAGCAAATGGGTAAGAGAGAAATTTCCAAGCGAGATACCTTTAAAGCCTCTTTCTTCCAGCAAGTTAGAAAAAGCGTCCATAACCAGACAGAAAAGATAAGGGCTGAGGGGACAACCCTGCCTCAGGCCGGCAGATGAAGGAAAGAATCCCTCAAGTGCACCATTAAGAAGAATGGAAAAATTCACATCTGAGATACAGGCCCTCACCCAATTAACAAATTGCCTAGGAAAGCCTTTTTGATTAAGTCTAGCCAAAAGGAATTGCCGTGACACAGAGTCAAAAGCTTTTTTAATATCCAGTTTGGCGCAGAAAATCTTTTCACCGCCTCTTTTACCAGCATAAAAAAGAATATCACTAGCCAACAAAATATTATCCGTAGATACCCTAGACTTTACAAAACCAGCTTGGGAATCTTTCACAATCCAGCTCATAATCGGTTTCAGCCTAGCAGCCATAACTTAGAAATGACTTTATACAGGACATTGCACAGAGCAATAGGTCTATACTCAGAGATACTTGCTGCATTTTTGTGTTTAGGAATGATAGCCAAAGCTGTAAATTTAAGTCCTTTAGGAAGAAGACTTTTAGAGAAGAAAGACTTAATAGCCCTGCAAACAGTAGGACCAAGTATATGCCAAGCAGATTTGAAGAAATGGAAATTAAAGCCATCAGGACCAGGGGCGGAAGTGGAAGAGCCCGAGAAAACAGCAGTTTTAATTTCTTCATCCGTCACCACCGAGATAATGGAGGAAGCAAAGTCCTCATTCAAAACATTACCAATGGGAAATAAATCCAGATTAGTGTTGCTGGGAGGGATAGGATTATAAAGCTCTTGAAAGTAGTTGATAATAGTGGAAATCACCTCCTCTCTAGAAGATTGGGAGTTGCAGGCTAACAAATTTTGCACAGATTTCTTACTTCCTATTCTGGTCCTGATTTTGGCATATAAAAATTTAAGATCATCTTCACCATGACTAAGCCAATTAACCTTAGCCCTTTGAATAATCCAAGAGGCTTGCATAGAAGAGAGGTTAGCTAAATTGACATTATTGTCTTTAAATTCTTGGTTGAAAAGAGTGTTTGTGGGATCATTATGAAGTGCCTCCAACAGTTCCTTTTGTTTCTTATGCAAATAATCTATATGC